ATGTTGTTTAATGTACAGGTCAGTGGTAGCCAGAAATGTTAACCTTTTGCCATGCTGAAAATTGACAATTTACTCCTACTCTATCTTCTGTCTCTTAACTTGTTTCTAGCTTATGATGGAACTTTAACTTTCACCCAGAACTATTCAGTTTTCTTAATAACCGCTTGTGAAGGACTGTGTCAAAGGCTTTTTGAATGCCCTTTTGAATCACATTTCTTGGTCTTACTTTAAAATCATATTTCTTTTTGAGACGTTTACAAATACTTCTTGTAGATTGAAAATACTGGAGTCTTCTCAATCGATGCAAGAGAGATGTGTGTGCTGTGCAATTTCGGTCAACTTTGACGCCACTGAAGAAAATCACGATTTGTCCCCCAGAAAGGTCAGACCACCAAAAACTTCCAGCTGAATCAGTAATGCAGAAAAATTAATTATAAGGCCGTATTTTATCCCATTAGAATGAAGCACTTCAATGCACATGGTAAATCACACAGGCGATGAACTAGACTAGGAAGTGGTAGCTGCAGCAGGAGCATGGGAATTACTGAGGCCGCACGAAGGCTCCCATGTTGCTGACCAGGACCATGCTGTAGGCACTGCACAGACACGGAGTGAAATGATTGTCCTATTTAAGACAAGAGATGACAGTGACAGACTGATAGGAAATACCTGTCATGATAGCAGGCAATATATGTGCCTAAGCTTTCTATACATAAGCTGGTGAAGTCTGAATGACTGACTTGGAGGAGGATAATGAGGTACCTCACAATCATTACAGACAGCACAGGAGAAAGTACAATAGGGCTTATCTGAAAATCTAAAAGTAGGAAATTAATGGCTCATTTTTTTTTTCTATTTTATGAGGAATAATGATTATCGTGAAGTCAGTCTGTGAAGGGTTATGAAACTGAAAACAAACTGCCTGTATTTGATGCTTTGAAGGGGAACTGGGGAAAGACACAGAGAGAGATGTTAGGAAAATAATCTGCGCAGAACAGTGGCAGCAATGAGACAAGATGACATTTGTCATGTGCTGAAAAGAGGCCAGCTGTAGTAACTGAAATGTGGAGAACTTGCATGAGAGTTTCAGCTCAGCGCACAGCTTAAAAAGCTGTACCTTAGTAGGGATGTGAGGAATAGGAAAGATACCCAAATTCAAGACATAGTTTATGCTCCAAGGTCAAGACAACCAACATGCTGATACAGTTGACTGATGGAGAAAGGGGGTGAGAGAGGAAAGATTATTCCTGTTGGTCTTTAAGTTGATGTCTAAGCATCCACAGGTTGGTATCAGGAAGATGGGATGAGTTTTATGTGTTTGGGGGGTTTTTTGGTGTTTTTTTTAATAGAGGAAATGGTATCCGGAGTACAAATCACAAAGATGATGACAGATTTGTCATTTAGATTAACTACAATAAAGACTCTGAAGAAAATGGCAAAGGAGCAACAAGAAGAATAAAAAGAAAACCAGAAAAGTGCAGGATGGAAATGGGAGAAGAGAAACTCCCTACAGCTACTGAGAACGGCACACCTACTGAGCTCACAAACTGGCTAAGGGGATGAAGAACTGAATGGCTGACCAAAATAAGTCAATGAAAGAAAGCAGCAGCTTCAACTATGAACTCTTAATCAGTAAGAAGTGTTAGTTTCTCAGCAAACAACAGAAGTTGTTTGCAAGTGGAAGAAAAGAAGGTTAGTGGCAAGTGGAAGAAAAGAAGGTTATCAGGAGTAGTCAGCATGGATTCACCAAAGGGAAATCATGGCTGACCAATCTGATAGCTTTCTACGATGACATGACTGGCTGGGTAGACGAAGGGAGAGCCGTGGATGTTGTCTACCTTGACTTCAGCAAGGCTTTCGACACAGTCTCCCATGATATCCTCCTAGGGAAGCTGAGGAAGTGTGGGCTGGATGAGTGGTCGGTGAAGTGGATAGAGAACTGGCTGAATGGCAGAACTCAGAGGGTTGTCATCAGCGGCGCTGAGTCTAGTTGGAGGCCGGTGACAAGTGGTGTCCCCCAGGGGTCAGTACTGGGCCCAGTCTTGTTTAACTTCTTCATCAACGACCTGGATGAAGAGTTAGAATGTACCCTCAGCAAATTTGCTGACGACACCAAACTGGGAGGTGTGGTAGATACACCAGAAGGCTGTGCTGCCATTCAGCGTGACCTGGATAGGCTGGAGAGCTGGGCAGAGAGGAACCTGATGAGGTTCAACAAGGGCAAGTGCAGGGTCCTGCACCTGGGGAGGAACAACCTCATGCACCAGTACAGGCTTGGGGTGGACCTGCTGGAGAGCAGCCCTGCGGAGAGGGACCTGGGTGTCCTGGTGGACGACAGGTTAACCATGAGCCAGCAGTGTGCCCTGGCTGCCAAGAAAGCCAATGGGATCCTGGGGTGCATCAAGAAGAGTGTGGCCAGCAGGACAAGGGAGGTTCTCCTTCCCCTCTACACTACCCTGGTGAGGCCTCATCTGGAGTACTGTGTCCAGTTCTGGGCTCCCCAGTTCAAGAAGGATGAAGAGCTACTGGAGAGAGTCCAGCGGAGGGCTACAAGGATGGTGAGGGGACTGGAGCATCTCCACTACGAGGAGAGGTTGAGGGAACTGGGCTTGTTCAGCCTGAAGAAGAGAAGGCTGCGAGGGGACCTTATAAATGCCTACAAATATCTGAAGGGTGGGTGTCAGGAGGATGGGGCCAAGCTCTTTTCAGTGGTGCCCAGCGACAGGACAAGGGGCAATGGGCACAAACTGAGGCACAGGAAGTTCCGTCTGAACATGAGGAGGAACTTCTTCCCTCTGAGGGTGACAGAGCACTGGAACAGGCTGCCCAGGGAGGTTGTGGAGTCTCCTTCTCTGGAGATATTCAAGACCCGCCTGGACAAGGTCCTGTGCAGCCTGCTGTAGGTGACCCTGCTTCGGCGGGGGGGTTGGACTAGATGACCCACAGAGGTCCCTTCCAACCCCTACTATTCTGTGATTCTGTGATTCTGTGAAGTTCCCAGTGACACTTGAAGCTAAAGTTCCCTTTTGCAATTACATAAAAGACTTCTTTTACCAATACTGTCTACAAGAAATACCATTTAATGTCCCCAAAACAGTTATTGATGGACGGTATTTGGACTATGGAGCTGGCAAGGTATTTGATGCATCCTGACAACTCTCAATTTTGTGTAAACACGTATTTAAATACCTATCAGATTATCAGCATTCTGCTTAGTGGTCAAGAAACAGAGAAACTGCAAAGATCCAGAAACTGCTAAGGTCAGGAACTGAATTACACTTCTTTGGAGAGTCTAGGGCAATACATATCTATTGTTTTGCCAATGACATCTGATGATACTTAAAGTATATAAAACTGTTCTAGACATCATCTACTTTATTTGTTTGATAATTCCTAGCACTACACCAAAGTTACTCTAATGCAGCTAAAATGAAATGTGAGAACATGATAAGCTGAAATTCTGTCATATTTTGTTAGATTTTTAGCACTGTATTTTTTATTTGTGACTGCTCTATTGTACTCAGAAATATTAAGAATTGGCTAATAATGGTGGAAATAGGTCCCAAGGAACAAAAAATACCAACTGATAACTCACTACTCAATCAAGCCCGTGGTGAAGTTGATGATAATGTTCAGCATAAAGGAAAGAGTTAACGTAAGATGCGTCTGTATAGGAAAGCAGAGCTAATTTTGGAGTAAATTGTGTATAAAAACTCAAATGGCTCTAAAGCATTCCAAGAATCAGCAAAAGCTCAGTGACAGAAAAAAAGGATCAATACTACACCCTTACTTGTATGCTTTCTGTCTAAACTTCCAAAACAAATTATTTTCAGGGAATTAAAGTAAGTGCTGAAGATGTTAAAGAATATGTGATTCATAAAATAGTAAAATACTGTTTTCATTTAATTTTACTTCTTCATATTTTGAATGTAAAGACCCTTGATTAGTAAAAAGAAGCAAAATTTATCAAAAAGGGGTTGCAGATTTAGGCCATTCAAGGATGTTATTAGATATTATTCTATTGTAACAATCACCATTTATTTTGTAATTAAAACATTTTAATATTTGAACTGGCATTTTAAACCAGCTATTAAGAAATAACATACGTTTACAGCCTAATGTCACCTAAATATACTGGCTTTCTGAACTCTGTGAGGAACACTTTCAAAGCAATAAATGGAGATACAGTAATAAAGCTCCCACCAAAGTCCACCAGAGGTGTGTGGCTCAACACATTCTCCCATGTGTATTGTATTCGCTATCAGCCTGTTCAACCATATGCTTTTAAGTAAACACAACTGAATATTAACTGAACAAAGGGTACACATTATCATGTTTTGTCAGTTTAAACTGCACATAAACAACTGATTAATCTTATATTGAAATAAAGCAAACTGTTGAGTTTCATCCAGAAAAGTTATAAAAATTAACAGCAGATGAAATGTAATGTTCATGAAAACCAGTATTATATTAAAAATCACTTTGTCATATTTTTAGAAATTCAAACCTTACCATGAATATTTTAAAACTTTAGAACAGCCAAGATCCATTTGCTCTTTTCACTACATATTGGACAGTATTTGTGTTTTTCATATATTCCTATGATGTGACTGATAACTAAGGCATGTGGCTCACTTGCTGAGCTGGTACCCCACAGGGCCTTGGCCCAGCACCAGTGCAGGTGGCCACTCCACCGACAGCCGGCAGAAGCTGGGCTGAGCAGACACATGAGCCCCCTCACGTGCTCACACCTGCGGTGGCCTGCCTAGTTCCAGGGATGTCCTCTGCTGGGGGACACCTACTGCTGCTCTAGCATGAGCCGAAAACTTAAGGAACTGCTAAGATACTGCTAACGCTGCCTGTAATATAGCTAGATAGGGTATAGAATATGCTTGTGTGGGCATATGTGTATGTGTACATATGTTAATTTGTAGTTTTAGCTTAAAATTAAGTTCCTTATTATATGCTGCAGTATCAAAGACCATTTCTTAGAGGCTTACAAATGTGGCTACAGATGCCTATTTATAGTTGATACTGTTAGGCAAAGAAAAAAGCTTAACTTACATGAGAATAGGCAGCAGGTAGTCTATAGATACCTCCCAGGTAGTCTATAGATATCTCCTACATCAATAACATACCAGATGCTCCTGCTTAATCAACGTCTATTCATTCACTAGTTTCCACAGAGATTAAAGAGAAAAAACCCCACAAACTAATGGACCATATATTCAGTCATACATCACAATTTGGAAGGAAGAAAACAATCTAATAAATAAGTAGTAAATCTAGCCATGATTTAGCAGCAGATATTTTTAGCTAAGGTTCTAATAATCAAAGTGATGTAACTGTATATGAAAGACCAAATCAGTCAAGATTTTTTCCTGTTGGATACGGACATAATCTTCTGATGTTATAAAGTGATGAAACTCACTGTTGGCTTGATATACATTATGCTTCTAACAATAAAGTGCATTTTGAAAGAAAAGAAATCACTTTGCCATCAAATGCCAATCAGTGTTATTTGCAGTGGGAAGGAGAACGCCTCTGGAGAAGCATTCCACAGAACTTTTCATCATTGCAGTCTGGAGCTGGCTGTACAGGGCAACTATTTTCAAATACTATACCGATACAAGATAAAATACTGAAAAAATCTTACACACAGTATGAAATTCTATCTTTATTTTCATAACTGGGATATACCATGAGCTAACACAGAGGCAACATTTGAAATCATGGATTAGGTCTTCCTTGTGTTTAAAAAGGCAGCACTATAGAAAATCTGTGCTGATTTTGTCCAGTAAAAGGTTCGCTTAAGGGTCTTCTGCAAAAGTATTGCCTAAGTTTACAGGACAAGAACACACATACAACAAGTTGTTGAACGGTGTCTCTCTTCATGACGATGTAACTCACTTTAGTTGCAGACTTCAAAGAAGCCACTCTCCTCTCTACAAGACTCCAAAAGCTGTGCAAGGCACAAGGGACTGTGTATGAAGAATGGGTTTTAGAACCTCGGAAACCTCAATGACTGTGATTTTTAAACTCTTCCCTTTGAATATATAAAATGGCACTTCCTGAATTACAGCTTATTTGTGCTTTGCTACATGCACATTGAAGGAAATCAGTGTACATTTTTAATAAATTTTCTGCACTGCACAACAAGAATTTTCCTTCTGGAATGGAATTCCCCTTTCAAATAAAATTAATAAAACCAAAACTGTACTTAAGAAAGGATGTCTCCAAAACTCTTAATGAAGCTGCTTGTAACATTCAGTAAAAATATTCGAGACAAACATCTCTAGGCAAACCTTTTACCAAATAATAAGCAAAAAAATGGAGAAAAAACCCTTTTTCATATTTTAAATGCTATCTTTAACCTCAGAGACATTCTTCCCATGAACATCCACATTTTCTATTAAATTGCTACTTTTAGACAGTACTCTGTGTAGTATGATCCTCTTAATCCACAATTCAGGACTGATAATCATTCTTTCCTTTGTACATTTCTAGGGATCTGCTGAAATGCTTGGCTGCCTAAACTATAGTAATTTCCTTTATGCAATTGTAAATTAAATTTTGTAGAAGTGGAGAGTAATTTAAAAAAAACATTTTTCCTTTTAAGAAACTTAATACATCAAAGAAAATTCAAGAGGAAGAGACATCCATAGCTCTGTAGGAACACAGGGAGGTTGAAAAAAGCACACAGACTAAATGATAATTTTACAGTTATATCGTAAGTACTTTCATAAGTACTTCCCTCACCCAAGCTGACCTATAGTATAGTATATTTTATATAAACATAGTGCTTGTGTTGTTTTTATCTTGTAATACTTCTTTCTGATGTCTTTAATACACCAATGAAGAATATTGCCTGAATCATAAACGTTTTCCCCCTGCTTATCGGTCATTTTCCTTGGAAAAACACAAGTTGTTTACTTTATGTTCTGTCACTTCAAACCCTGCCAAAGTCACTAGGTCCAGTAAAACAAATCATGCATTTCCTGGAATACCACATGACCAAAAAAAAATTGAATAACAGCATCTATAGGAATTAAAAAAAAAAAAAAAGGAAAAAAATTGTGGCCCTACTATTGTGTTCATTTGGGAGCACTGATTGCAAGGCTAGGCAACACCTTAAAGAGTGTAGCAACTAATTTTAATTAATAGCAATATTAGATAATGAATTTATATGAAATTGCATTGCATATGGAAAATTTGCTCAGAGAAGTATCTTTTTTTTCACTTGAGTTTGATGATTAACCCATAAAAGCCCTAACTCTATCAAATATTTTCACAGATAGGGAACACCAAACTGGTAGCAGTCCATCAAAGATGCTACAATAAATTATCTGGGTTTTCTGAAAAGTTGTCCAGCTAACAGTTCTGCTTAAGATTTTTTTTACACAGATGCAGGCTTTGGAAATGAGTATGTAAAATTAAATCCTTATCAGTTTGATCTATGCTTTACATATTTGTATGGATGTTTATAAGGTCCAGCCACCAGACCTGCTGAGCCTCAGAAGTACCAAACCAAAACCAAATAGGTCATTGCCTATTCACCATGTAGACCTTTTCCTTATTACCTGGTTATTCTTGATAGAGCTGGGTGAGATCATGCAAAGAGATGATGATGATACCACCAAGGGCAGAGTTGCTGTTTTTCTCCAGCACAAATGAAACCAGTCCCTATTTCATATCCCATTACACATAGAAAGAGGTTGAAGTCAAGCCATAGACTTGCACAGATTGCATGTATTCACATAGTTTTCTTCAAACACATATGTAGGACTGAAAACTCATTCTTCTTTTATTTCTACAAATTTTATTTCTCTTTTGTGATCAGAGGTCTCCCTTACAGGTCCTAACTTCGAAAAAAAACCTACTTACTTTCTTTTCAAATGCACTTCTACAGTTAAAGAGGCTATCATATAAAAAAACTCCATTTCTATTCAGACAAGAAAAAAATGATAAATGGATCTATTCTATAATTCCACATTTTTTCTAGCAGTTATATACAAAACACAAGTACTAGTTAGGTAAATAAATACTGAAGTCAGTTATTTTCACAGGGAAATTTCATCCAATTGTCAAACCGACTGACTTCAGAGTTCCACCCTGCCATTTAATCCAGTGTTTTCCTTTCAATTTACTATAGATCCTGAAGGATCAGCAGTTTGGGAAGCTAATATGGGTACAGCACAATGTTTGAAGAGCCTCTTTTCTACTTCAATGTAAAATAAAAAAAAATTAAAAAGGTCAACCATTATTTTCATTTGAACAGCAGTGCTAAATGTCAAAGTGGTTGGTTATAAGTAAACTTTTAAAGTGACTGTTTAAAGCACCCATGTGCCAGTATAAGCACCTGAGCAAAGTAATCTGAAAGAACAGACAAGAAAGTACATGATTTAGTAAGAAGATTTCTGTAAATAAATTCAAAAAAAACTCCCTCGGGGATTCAATTATGATCCTGCAGATCTAATCATTAAATATGCTTCATGTGAAGTTGATTTGGCACCTATATACTCTTGTGCAAAGTGGTACTGTACTCAAGTATTGAGCAAAAAGTAATTAATTTGTGCTCAAATCACCTTTATGCATGAAGTGTTGGCATTTCCATTTTACAAATAGAAAAACTGAGCCACAGAGATTATAGATGGCTTACTCAAAATTATTTGTCATATTAGCAGCACTGGACAGCAAAATTCAAAATTCAGGACATACTTAAGTGCCTTTTACACCACTAACAGCAATATTCATTTCAAATTACGTATATTTCAAGAGCTTGTTAAATCAATGCTACATGGACGCTGTGAAAGAATTGGGTTCTGGATATCCAGCACACCGTGCTGCTGAAACTGAGCACGAAACTCACATACAGAGACTTAGATCATATTATTACAGAGTGGAACTGGTAGGTTCAACCAACAATATAGCAGATTAACAACAAAAATTATTCTTTGCTTTTTTTTTCTTTCTTTTAAATACATTGCATGCTATACATTTAAAAAATACCGTTCTGCGGTTAAATAGACACAAATTGCAGTGCCTAGACTGGAAACAATAAGCATCCTCAACTTTACTGAAACCTAAAGGAGCTGAAGGCACTTCTCTCCATATTAGATCATGCCTTCTAGAAGTGTATGAAGTAGCATTCCCTCACTTTCTGCATGCATGGTGGAAAAGAAAATTCTAAAAGCAAAGTGAGACATAAGAAATTCTGAGCACATCTACAAAGGCAAGGTATCTGTGGTTTGGTCTTATTTGTTTAGAACTCTTTCCATGGGTGCAGTATAACTGTACTTGCTTCTACAATACCGGTAGCCAAAATAAAATGGTTATATCCAGACTGGTACAATATCCATAAGGTAAGGATGAGGACCAGTGCTGTTTAATATCTTCGTCAATGACATAGACAGTGGGATTGAGTGCACCCTCAGCAAGTTTGCAGATAACACCAAGCTGAGCAGTGCAGTTGACACGCCTGAGGAACGGCATGCCATCCAGAGGGACCTGGACAAGCTGGAGAGGTGGGCCTGTGTGAACCTCATGAGGTCCAGCAAGGCCAAGTGTAAGGTCCTACGCACAGGTCAGGGCAATCCTCGATATCAATACAGGCTGAGGGATGAAGGGATTGAGAGCAGCCCTACAGAAAAGCTGGATATGAGTCGACAATGTGTGGTCACATCCCACAAAGCCCACTGTATCCTGGGCTGCATCAAGAGAAGCGTGGACAGCAGGTCGAGAGAGGTGATTCTTTCCCTCTACTCTGCTCTGGTGAGACCTCACCTGGAGTCCTGCGTCCAGCTCTGGAGCCCTCAGCACAAGAAGGACATGGAGGTGCCTGAGCAGGTCCAGAAAAGGGCCACAAAAATGATCGAAGGGCTGGAACACCTCTTCTACAAGAAAAAGCTGAGAGAGTTGGGGCTGTTCAGCATGGAGAAGAGAAGGTTCTGGGCAGACCTTATTGCGGCCTTTCAGTACTTAAACGAGGCCTATAGGAAAGAGGGGGACAATCTTTTTA